TTCCAGGGAAAGGGAGAAAGGAGGAGGGAGGCAATATTGCATTTGCCTCCTTTACTAACCATAATTTAATTAAAGTTGTAACATGCCTGGGAGTTTAACACTGACCGAGCAGGTTTTCAATGGCGTTTTTGTTTTTTTTTTTATTCCTCCGAAGAACTGTTGGTTAATGGATGAATGGATGTGATCGAGCTGAGGAAGAATATGCTAGATACATGCCTCTGAGTAAGATTTCTTCTGCCTTTATGCAGTGAAGCCTTTTGCTTTGAGTAATTCTGATCCAGTTGACGTCTGGTCAGAATTAGAAAGAGATTTGCCGAGACTTCCGATTCCTTGCTGCATGACTGCCTTTGCTGCAAGTGCTAGATTTGCAGCCTTGAACCTGATGCCACAGGAGATGTCTTGCAGTACTGAGACTCGCTGGTTTTCAGGATGCATTCCTCCGAGCTAGAGTTGTGGCATGAGGAGTGGAGCTCTGAAGTGGACGATAGAAAATGCAAGCCTTCTCCAAGATTCCAACATTTAAGCCTGGATGATTTATTAGTCTTCCCCTACTGACACACACAATGCATTCATTTTCTCTATTCATATTGGTTTTAGACTAGCAAAAGCAGAATAAATCCTCAAGGAGTCAGAAAGAGTGCAAGAAAGAACGGAAATGGAAGTTGTTTCCAGATAGGTGAAATCTGGGCATTAAATTACTGACGTAGGTCAATGGTAGGGTTTCCCTTCCACCCCCCCCCACCCCCCCCCTCCCTTGGCTTTTAATCAGCCTGGGTGTCTTCTCCCTTAAAGGATGAAGAGTGCTGACAGCCATCCCTGCTTCTAATCAGTAACTCTGATGCTTGGAGTGTTGGCAATGAGATATTTTCATGAGACCTGTTTAGATATCTCCACTTCTACCAGGCTAGTTTTGGAGAATGTTGGGAATAAGCGATATGTCAGATATGGCTGAGACTCTGAAGATGATCCACATATTTTACATTTTTCACAAAATTTGGGTGAGTGACTAAAACATTTCCTTTAAATGTGTATTTGTGTGTGTCCATAAGAACTAAAGATCTCTGCTTGACAGTCAGCTCTGTTACCTTGTGTATAACTCATGGAGGGGGGTGGAAATCAGAGAATCAATTAAAATTATTTACTGGTGTAAAGATACAAAATTTCTCTCACAGAAGAGAGCTGTTAAGTACATTGAAGTAGGAGGTTAACCGAAAATTTAATTACTAAAGAATTCTGCCACAAAAGTAATCTAGGGCGTGTGTGTGATGTCGGTGTGGGTGTGGGTGTGCCTTGTAAAGGTATAGATAGGAAAAAAATCCATGCTTATAACAGTTTTAAGAAATGGCTGTTGTGGAGGATGTGTCAGTATTCTCTCTGTTGCATTCAGCTGCTGTTTTCAGCACTGAGCTGAATTCCTTTGGATTCCTACCATGGCATTTCCACCACCGGTTAAAAACCAAGGTAGAAGGAGGGGAAGACCTTGGTGCGCTGTTCACTAGGGAGGTTCTGAAGGGGAAGGGGGAGCTGGGTAATAAGGAAGGTGGGAAACCTCATAAAATGGTGCTTCTTTTCTCAAATTAGAACTGTGAAACTGAACTGACAGCCATTTTATGTATATTTATGGGGTTGGTTGTGAAAGAAAGCCATGGAAGCATTGAAATGCACCCCACAGGAACAGAACCAAAACCATTTCTGCTGTGACCTCACCTTTTTAAACACCACAGGCATTTGACTCACTAGGAATTGCCCATCAACCTTGAATCAATGCATGCCATCCAGTTTTGAAAAGTGTGGGAATTAGAAGTGACTGTTTTATTTTTGTTTGATTAACAACCCATTCTCTACCCCACTGAAGATATATGTAAACTTTGTGTCCCTTTTGAATTTTATGTGGCTATGCTATTATGTTGCTTTCTTTTTGTTTCTCCTTACCCTTACAGGAAATAAAATGTACGCTTGCTGCTCTACAGTAACTTTGGAACAGGACCTCAACAAAAAAATGCATATCTGGATGCTGCAGACAATTGCATTTGCTTTAACATCGCTAGTCCTTTCGTGGGCAGAAAGCATCGAGTATTATGGGGAAATCTGTGATAATGCATGTCCTTGTGAGGAGAAGGACAGCATCCTAACAGTGAGCTGTGAAAACAGAGGGATCATCAGCCTTTTTGAGATCAGTCCACCAAGGTTCCCCATCTACCACCTCCTGTTGTCTGGGAACCTTTTGAACAGGCTGTACCCAAACCAGTTTGTCAATTACACAGGGGCTTCAATTTTGCATCTGGGAAGCAATGACATACAAGACATCGAAACGGGGGCCTTTCATGGTCTCAGGGGTTTAAAGAGGCTGCACCTGAACAATAACAAACTGGAACTTTTACGAGATGACACTTTTCTTGGGCTAGAGAGTTTGGAATACCTACAGGTTGATTATAATTATATTAGCATCATTGAACCCAATGCCTTCAGCAAACTGCATTTGCTGCAGGTGCTGATTCTCAATGATAACCTCCTCTCCAGTTTGCCCAACAACCTCTTCCGTTTTGTGCCCTTAACTCACCTGGACCTAAGGGGTAACCGGCTGAAGTTGTTGCCCTATGTGGGCCTTTTGCAGCACATGGATAAAGTGGTGGAGCTGCAGCTGGAGGAAAACCCCTGGAATTGCTCCTGTGAGTTGATTGCTCTAAAGGATTGGCTGGACAGCATCTCCTACTCTGCTCTGGTGGGAGATGTGGTTTGTGAGACACCTTTTCGCTTACATGGTCGAGATTTGGATGAAGTCTCCAAGCAGGAGCTTTGCCCCAGGAGACTCATCTCGGATTATGAAATGAGACCACAGACACCACTGAGCACCACAGGCTATTTCCACACTACCCCAGCTTCAGTCAACTCTGTGGCCACTTCTTCTTCAGCTGTTTACAAATCCCCCTTGAAGCCCCCCAAAGGGACCCGCCAACCCAACAAGACAAGGGTGCGCCCCACCTCCCGCCTGCCCTCCAAAGACCTGGGATACAGCAACTACGGCCCCAGCATTGCCTACCAGACCAAATCACCGGTGCCTTTGGAGTGCCCTACTGCCTGCACTTGCAACTTGCAGATTTCTGACCTGGGCCTCAATGTCAATTGTCAGGAGAGGAAGATTGAAAGCATTTCTGAACTGCAGCCCAAACCTTATAATCCTAAGAAGATGTATCTGACGGAAAACTACATTGCTCTAGTACGCAGAGCAGATTTTGTGGATGCTACTGGGCTGGATTTGCTGCACCTGGGCAATAATCGGATCTCGGTCATTCAGGACCGGGCTTTTGGGGATTTAACTAATTTGCGAAGGCTGTACCTGAATGGGAACCGTATTGAGCGGCTGAGCCCAGAGCTGTTCTATGGGCTGCAAAGCCTGCAGTACCTCTTCCTGCAGTACAACGTCATCCGGGAGATAGAGGCAGGCACCTTTGATCCTGTCCCCAACCTTCAGCTCTTGTTTTTGAACAACAATCTGCTGAGGTCTTTGCCAGGGAACATTTTTTCTGGTCTGTCTCTCTACAGGCTGAGCCTGCGGAGCAACCACTTCTCCTACCTGCCAGTGAGTGGGGTGCTGGACCAGCTGAAATCCCTGCTGCAGATCGACCTGCACGAGAACCCCTGGGACTGCACCTGCGACGTGGTGGGCATGAAGCTGTGGCTGGAGCAGCTTAACACCGGCGTCCTGGTGGACCAGGTTATCTGCGAGTCCCCTAAGAAGTTTGCCCAGAGCGACATGCGGGCCGTCCGGGCGGAGCTGCTGTGCCCCGACTACTCGGACATCGTTGTTTCCACGCCCACGCCGTCCCCGGGCCAGCTGCCGGCCAGGACCACCCCCTCGTCCTCCACCGTGCGCCTCAACGGCACGGCGGGGGGCGGCGCTGGCGGCGGCAGCTCGTCGGTGCCGCTCTCGGTGCTCATCCTCAGCCTGCTGCTGGTCTTCATCATGTCGGTCTTCGTGGCGGCGGGGCTTTTCGTCCTGGTGATGAAGCGGCGCAAGAAGGGCCAGGGTGATCACGCCAGCGCCAACAACTCCGACGTGAGCTCCTTCAACATGCAGTACAGCGTCTACAGCGGCGGGCACCACCACCACCACCCCCA